TTTGCCTTGGGGATTGGATGTGAATGGGAGTTAGAGCCACTAATTCCTGCGGTGCCTGTTTGGCCGTGGGCTGATCCTGAAGTGGAGGAGGATGGTGCTGTGGAGCAGGGCCAGCAACAGTTTCTCAGTGTTGGGCAGGCAGCAGTGGTTCTTTCGTCTCCCAGCTCCTCCAAGAGCATGCAGCCCTAGGCATATCCCACCTGCCCCAGCACACCATGAATCCCTGTGGCTGGTGTCAGTGTTGGCTTCAGGAAAACTGGGTGCTGTGTCCTTTCCCACCAGTCCAGCAGCAGCCCCTGCAAAACGAGGTGCAATAATCCCTGCAACTTGTCTGCAGTGGGTGGCCAGGACCCCAGGATGGTCGAACTGCAGCCATGCCCCAGAGCTGCAGGGGACTCCCTGTATCACTCATCCCAGGGCAAGTGCAGCACTGTGTGGTTTGATGGGCTCTATCTTGGCCCAGATGAAGCCCGTCCGAATCTGGAGATGGACAGTTCTGGGGCTCACTGGGACCCCAAAACCCATAGGGAGCACAGGACAGCAACGCACATGCAGAGCCTGGTCAGAGCTGCCATGAGTTTGGGACCGATGCTCACAGCTCATGTTACTTGCATCATGAAGGTTTTTTTTTCCCCCCTTCTGGTTTGGCTAAAGCCAAACAGAAAAAGTGATTGAGCTGGGGGTTGGGGAAGGAAAAATCCATTTCCATCCTGAGAACTGGGCACAGCCAGTTCCCACATCTGCTCCCCTGGCCGGGGCTCAACCGAGCAGCCTGTGCCGGGGAGCACAGCTGCCTCCTAACATGGCAATGTTGTGGCCCTGGTTCCCTCGCTGCAGGCTGGCCGGGGTCCCAGGGGGTCGCAGGGGCAGGGAGCCATGCGGGGAGGTGCGGGCTGCTGCGGGGCTCCCCATACCCTGCCGGGGCTTGGGAAGGGTGGAGGCTTCGCAGCACAGCAGCCAGCAAGGGCTTGGTCGCTGCCACATCACAGCCGGGGCTCCCGGCCAGCCCCAGCGGCTCTGGAGGAGGCCATGAAGGGGGGCAGAGCTCCCTGCCCTGCACCTGGGTTTGGGGGGGCTGTGAAGGGCAGTGACAAGCTGGAGGTGCTCCACTCGCCTCCCATATAGCCCTGTGGGTGCCCCATTGCAGGAGAACAGCATTAGGAGCTCATGTTCCCTCTCTTCCCCATGTGCTGCAGGGTAGCTGAAAAGGAGCCTATCAACAAAATGTCTCTCCACAATCTGGCCACGGTCTTTGGGCCAACACTGCTGAGACCCTCAGAGGGGGAGAGCAAGGGACACCTCACCCTGGCCTCTGACATCTGGTCCCATGATGTGATGGCCCAGGTAAGAGCTGGTGGCATGGGGCTGCAGCCTGCACCAGCACCCCTGTGTGGGGAGCAGAGGGGTTTGCTTTGTCTGGGGACATTTGTCACTCTCTGCTGGACGTGTCTGCACAAGGACAAGCTAGGAGGTGGCAGCTCTGCCCTTGTTTGGCCTAATACCCCCTGTTTGCCTGCTACAGGTCCAGGTCCTTCTCTACTACCTGCAGCATCCTCCCATCTCCTTCACTGAGCTAAAACGCAACACACTTTACTTCTCCACGGACGTGTAGCCTGCAGGGAGAAGGCACCAGCTGCAAACACTCCCAGCTCCCTGCCGGGGGACACGGACTGGATCGCAGCCCCCCAGGGAGACCGGCCCGGAGCCGGGACGGTGCCGCCTGCAGCTCCTGTACAATCGCGTACCAGAGGCTCGGTCCCACCCCAGGCACCGTGCCCCTCTGTAAAGTAGTCGTGTCTTATGTCCCTCCTTGTGTTCAGGAATTGTTTTTATGTATATTTGTTCAACGGAAGAGGTAGTGACTGACAAGGGCTGCGGACGCAGGCTTCTCCCTTCGCTCGTTTTCTCCTGGACTCCTCTCTGCCGCTCGTTCCTACCAGGCACCCTTCGTCTCGCCCAGCTCGAAGCCTGCAGCATCCCACGAGTGCCTGTTTCGCTGCCCAGCTCCCCTGCCCCACGCCTGCATGTGCAGCATCGACTTGCTTCAGAGGCTGGGAGCTCATAGGCTTCCCTCTGCCGTGACAGTGACCAGCTCTGCTTTGGCTTGCTGCCTGCGCAAACGTTGGACCCTGTGCCTGGATCCTGCTCTGGCCCAAGCAAACCTGCGACCACGAGAGCGGAGGAGCAGGGTGCTGCTTCCTCCTCGCCACGGCTCTTCTGGGTGCTTTCAGGCCAGTCCCCTCTACAGCCCTTACCCTGTGCTTTGCCTGTGCGGGTGTAGCATGGCAGCTACTTCCTTTGCTGTACCTCGCCTCCAAGTAGCATTCTGGGGTAACCCATCACACAAGGCTGGAGTGAGAGGGGTTGTGCTGGTCTCGATCCACAGCAGGCTTGAGAGACAGCCAGCCAGGCAGGTCTGCTTCCTCCACCATGGGCTGACCCCAGCTCTGCGCTCTGGCACCAATAGGTCCCGTAAGGGCACGTGGATCCCAGTTTCTCCAACAAACCCTGGTGGGGTGGGGAACGGGGTCCCTGCCATATCCATAAGCCCATATCTCTGCTGTAGTAAAGCATATGCACCCCTGCAGCCCAGCACTGTCAACACTGGCTGCACCCTGTGGCAGAGCCCGCTGGGCACCAGCATTCCTGCCATGGCCATGAGAAAGGAGAGGGTTTTTTTTTCCCCTCCTTGGCTTTCCCTGCTGCCCAGGGCAAATGGCAGCACATGGTCCTGCCTCGGTGCCAGCCCCACTGCCAGATGTTTGTGCTCTGCAGCAGCTGGACAGTCACCCAGCCTGGAATCTAGCGGGGAGGGTTGGGAGGAGGAAAGCCTTCATGGCCCTCACTGCTGAAGGCAGAAGTGCTTTGTTCTCTTTCTCACAAAGCAGTTGCTGCTGGGTTAGCTGTGCCCAGCCAACTCAGGTCTGTTTTAGTTAGTGGCTCCAGTTCTTCACCCCCATGCTGATGGCTGGAGTTGTCACGCCATGTCCCAAGGCAGGATGGCCACATGCCTGTGCTCACTGCCAGGCTGTGCTCTGGCTGCCCCAGTGCCTGGCTCCCAGTATGTCCCCCACCCTCCCACATTCCCAGGTAGGTGCTGGGACCTGTTGGGACACGAAACCTTTCGCTCTGTGAGCTGAGTCCGTGTTCTCGTGGGAAAAGCCCCCCCTTCCCCGATTGCGTTGGCCCTGTGCTCTCCTGTGCCAAATGGAGATGGATGAGAAGTGACCAAGCGTATCCCTGCTAACAGTGGCATTGCCTTTACCCTCCTGACTAACAGACTGTTCCAGGTAGAGCCCGGCCGCCTGCCACCGATGCACCAGGTATGTCCTAAGCCCACCTTCCCAGGGAAGGCAGCACCTGCCTGCCCTGCACCAGCAAAGCAACGAAAGGAGGGGAGGTCTTTCAGTCCCCCTCCAAAGGGCTCACACTCCAGACCCTGCCCCTCTTGACTACCAGCTAAACAGAAGGGAAACAGCATTGCAGAAAATAACCAGGCGTCTGTCTTGGCCCTGGACCCAGTAAGGAGGCCGAGTTTTAAATCTGACTGCACAACGGATCCCTGTGTGTGTCTGATTTGTTACATGTGTCCAAGTCTCTGTCCACGATACTGTCATTCCAGATGGAGACTCTGTACAGCCAAATCCCCCCTGCGCGAGTGGCTGGAGGCCTGGTCCACACAGCCCTGGCGCAACAGGCTGTGGGCATCCCTATGACTGGCTTTTGCTTGTCCCTGCAGGAAAGAAGGGGGGGGACGACGACACTCTTGCAGCTACAGGTAGAATAGAACTGTTAATTAATATTTGACTTTCAAAAGTTGTTAAGGATATATTTTTGTTTGTGTTTTGTTTCAATTTCTGTAGATTATAAACTTTAAATGGCTGTAAACCATGTGAGGAGAACAAAAAAAAGGTTAATAAAAATGCAAAGCCCCAACATTTGCACAAAGGGAGCCTTGTGGTGTTGCTGTTTCTGCTAACTGATCACCTTGGCATCACAGCTTCTCTGTCGTGGAAATCCTGCTAGTTGCACTTCAAGCCAGTGGTATATGCACAGGCATCGTGCCAGGCAATCTTTTAAGAGAAATCTTATGGTTTGGGCTAGATCCTTGCATTTCAGTACATTCTGGAGGAAAAAAAATCCTGGACTGTCTGGAGCCAGCCTGTTTAATCAGCCCAGAATTACTCAAGCTTAAAATTCAGCTGACTTGCACAGCTTCTGGCCTGAGGATACTGAACAGGCGCAGCAAGGGACATCAGGCAATCTGGAAACCTCATCTGATAGATCACATGGTGCTGCCTCCCCACTTCTTTCCATGTGGGAATGGGAGACAATATGCCTTCAAACTGACCACCGACCATCGTATCAACCAAACCACCCTGCTAGTATTGCTCTTCCAGGTAAGCAAGTGCTGTCACCATTCTGGGATCTCAAACTGTGGATGCAAAGGAAGGGAAGTGGGTGGGAGAACCTGTGAAGTGTATGCACTGAATCTGAAATCCCACTGCCTCAAAAAGATGAGGGTGGGTGTCTGCCCTTGCAGAATGGCTCTACTGAAGTTTAAAATCAGCCTAAATTATCTTGAGTATATAAATTACCCCCTGAGGTCTGAGAACAGAGCTTGGTTAGAAAAACAAGAGTGCTAACATGAATGCAGATCAAAAAGGGAGCTGCTCCTTGAGCTAATGAACATGTTTTGACTTCAGTACCAATGTTCTGCAGAAATACCACTTCGCTTCCCCCAGTGTAATACTCAGAGGTGGTACAGGGACGTGATGGGAAACAGACTGTGGGCTAAGTGAATGCCCAGTTATCTCTCTAACAGTGGTTTATTCTCACAACTCTGTGTTCCAGTCTTGCTATCAAACTGCTGGAACTAATAGCGTGAGCCCATGGCAGTTAAAGCAGTAGCAAGATGATTTTACTCCCACAACGAGGTTAAATCAGGCTAGCCAAGTGGCTACAGAGAATTATACTTCTGCAACAACCTTTTTCCTGCCCCCCTTAAACTGTTTTGTTCATCTGCCAGTAACCACACGGTTCTAAGGCTAAGGATATTGCTTTTCCCTTTAAGACATGGTAAAGAAATCTGGCTCTCATCTCTATACATGAAATAAGGCAAGTTGTACAGATGGTGGTTTGTCTTCAGCTGGTATTTTAAGAAAAGCCTGAAACAACTTATATCTCCACAGGATCTTACCTCTCCCCAACAGAGTAGCAAGCTGCAAACTGATAATCGTTCAACACTTGCAGCACATTCAAATACACAGTAAGCTAAATCACTGCAATTCTTTTTGATGCTTGTCCTCCTGCGTCTTTTGATGCTAGCAGCAAACTTCATCAAAATCAGACCCAAAGGACTGAAAAAGCTCAGAGTCCAGGCTTGTTTCCTGGAAACTGACAGTCAGCTGATCCATCCTGGAGATACTGCTCGCTGTGCCTGGCTCCATCCTCACATACTCCTGCAAGTCTGCCTGAAGCAGTATGCCAGGGCTCAGAGCCAGATTATTGTTAGTCATTCAGGAAAAGTGGCCAGCACCATCCAGCTTGCACTGATCAGGACTCTGAAGGCAGTGGAAAGGTAAGCCTGATGGTTCTTGTGCTGTGAGGCAGGCTCTTAGCAGCAGCACTGGAACAAAAGCGGAAACTTCCTCCCAAGAGATCCCACTGTTACCGTAGATAGTAATCAATCGCAGCAGAGAAAGCAGCAAATCCACCACAGCCGATAACTCCCGCCTTCAAACCAGCTGCAATGCAAAAAGGGTGGGAAAGAATGAGACAAAATAGGAAAGATCTTTTTCTTCTCAGTCAGTAACTAGCTTACACTGTGCTGGCTTGAAGAGCTTACACCTGCAGGAACCCGGCAGTCTGCTACCATGGAACAATGGCACTCCCACTGCCCAAAGGGATGGGAGGAACCTGGCACACACTGGACCTAAAACTAGCATAGCACAATGGCTGAGCCCTTTGTTGCTATGTTTGCCCTCAAGGGACAGAAAACATCAGTGGCCATTGCTGATTTCAGTGGACTCTGACGTGAGCACTGTGAGTGGTTTGCTGTTGGACTAGGGAAGGATAAGAAGAGTCACTATTGCTTTGATAGGATTAGATCAAGGACAGACACAACAAGCTCAATTAGAAGCACTTTCAAGAGCACTTTCTTTTCTGCTCTCTGGACAGTTTTTTCTTAAGGAGAGGTGAGAGAAGTTTGATCTTTCTGATGATCAGAGCAGCTCTCTTCCTACTTGGAACTTTTTACTTAGCACTCAGAGGTTCCCAAAGTCCTCATTAGTGCCTGCCGGACTGAATTCCCAGTGCTCCTGCTCTTTCATAGCTAAGCAGAGTTGTCTGTTTGAATTGATACACGAGAAAGGAGGAAAGCATTTTCCTCTCTGCAAATTAACAGAGTTAATGTCAGTGAAATATATATACAAGCAGAGCTTTGTTAACACAAGAGCTGTAGCTTCAGAGTTGCTCAGTATGTATTTTTGGATTCCTCCCCTCCTTCCCATCCACACAGAAGAGTGTGGATAGCTAACACTACTTCCTGCTTTTTCTTTGAAGTAAATTCTGTTGATTTTCCTCCGATCTCACTGTCCTGTATGACCAAACCTCCTCTACCCACACATCTTTCAAGCTGACAGGAAAGTGACAGAGCAGTTCTGCCAGTCTGGAGTACACTCTCATATTGACATCACCATAACCCAATGCAAAGAGATTTTCAGTCTATGTTCTGTTTAAAAATATCACCTGCTGCATAACCAAATTAGTTTTATCACAGAAACAGGCACTACCAACCTCTGAAGCCGATTGCTCCTCCGGTGATGCAGCCACTGATAACACTGTTCTTCCAGTCTGACTTGCCACGATACTGTGGAATTAAAAATGAGAGTCAACAAGTAAATGTGGACTGAACACTCAGTGTACTAGCACCAAGAAAGACGGAATGACCTTCCAGCCCTTTTCAGCTGAGGATGTTTTTCCCTCTATTCTCAGCAGATGGCCCCCTGCACTCTCAAAGAGAAGACTAGCAGGGCCAGGAGAAGAGAGAACAGGTCACCCAGAAAGGTAAGACAAATCCATATGGTGCAATGCAGTGCTACAGCAAAGACTCTCAGGTGAGCTGATCCAGCCCCCCGAGTACAACACTGTGCACTACAACCAGCTCAGAGACTATAACAGCACTATATCTACACAAGTGCAACACTGAGCCTGGCCACGCCGCCTGGTTCTCAGCACAGGTGACAGCCACAGTACCCTGCTGACAAAGATGGACTATTTCCACAGCCAGAGTAAAGATCTCTTTGTTCTGCTCCATTGTGCAAGCAGATAGACTTTTCTTCTACATGAGTTATGAAATCATTGTGTCTTTCAATTAAAAGGCAGGACTCAAATTCATAACAGGCTTGTTTTCCTGTTTAAGAAAATGAATTATAGATTCACCACTGAGCTGCACAAGGTCACTTCTTGCCATAGGGGCAAGATGAAAATAGGCCTATTACTTAAGAGCTTTGATCAGAGGATCCCTTTCTCCATATGGAGTTTTTAGAAGCCCAAATTACCATGTGGCAGCTCACAGTTTGATATTTTACAAAAACAACAGGTGCTCGTAGCTAGGCTTTTAAAACTTTGAAAAGTTACTTTTCAAAACAACATCTATACTTGCCAACACATTCAGGACTTGAACTGAAAAGTACTTTGCTCAGGTATGCTGTTCTGCTTGTTCTATCAGAGAACAGCAGTTCTGAAGACAGGTGTCAAACCTCAAAAGCTCTGATGGTCAAGAAACAGAATACACTAGCCTACTCCCTTGCCCTGTTACAAAGGAGATGCACATACTTGGATGTAGTAGAAGAGATTATTAGTGTACAAGAAAACGTTTCTTACTGCTTAAGAAGTTCTTACTCACAGATTCAACGATACATTCAGTGCAGGAGAACATGGCACCCACAATGGCGAAGTTCTTTGCATAGGATATGCCCCGCTGCCCCATATCTTTGAGGACCTCTTTTGCTGTTGGCGTGCGATATGGATCCTTGGGATCAAACCCAACATTGGTGTCGATGCCGGCTGTGAAGACACCAAAGGCGCCTCCCAGAACAAACCCTGTAAAAGACAACCAGTATGAAATGAACCTGGCCTGGATTCAAGCAGCACATTCCCCACAGGCACCAGAGAACCTCTGCTCCTGCTGTCTGTCAATGCTGCATTGTGAAAGGGGAAGTTTAAGAGCACAAATGTCCTGTCCCTTCATACTCTGGAAGCTGTTGCTGACAGGCTGTGCTGAGGAAAGGCTGTGAGCCTTTACAAGGAAAGCAGACAAAGATCCCTCCCTGGAACCTGTGACATACACTGGAGGCTTAGATGAAGGAGAATGAAAACATGGGGGTCCCTGTGCTGCAATTTCATCTCTACCCCCGCTCTCCCGACCATATGGAGGGGGACCCCCCCAGGCTCTCCGCAGCCGGCCGCCCCGTCCCTCATCCTCTCCTTGCCCCCTCAGCCGCCGCGCCGCACCGCACCTCCCACACAGGCCAGCGCCGCCTTGAAGGCGCAGCTCTCCATGGCGCGCTCCACCATCTTCTGCTCCTCGCTCTTGGGCGGGCTGGGGATTCCGCCGAACGTGGCGGGGTCCCAGGCGCGGGGCCGCCGCTGCTCGCCCACCAGGTGCTGCAGCAGCATGCTGTACTGCAGCGGCGGCCCCGGGGGAGGCTCCGGGCCGCCCGCAGCGGAGGGCGGCGGCGCTGCGGCCATGACCGACCTCAGACACCCGCCACCGGCTGGGCACCGTGTCCCGGCCCACTCCAGGCGCCGGTAACGCGGCTCCCGGCAGCAGCGGCGGCGCGCGGAGGCTCATGGGAGTTGTAGTTCCGCTGCGGGGAGGCGCCGGCAGCGCAGCATCTGGAGAACTACAACTCCCGACAGGCGCCGAGATGCCCCGGGTGGGCATGGGCGGGTAGCGCGGCTTCCCACGGGATTGGTCCCTTGGTGCTGGGAGGACTACATTACCCGGCGTGCCGCGCGCCATCCCCCTGGCGGCCGTTGCAGCCGCTGCAGGTGAGGTGAGGGCTCCGGTTGTCGGAGCATCTTGGAGAGCTGCGGCGGCGGCGGCAGGTGAGCGCGGCTCGGGCTCGGGCTCCGGTTCCGGCTGGGCTAGGCCGGCGGCCTGTCCCGGGGCAGCCCCATGCTGGGGGACGCTGAGGTGCCGCAGTGCGGGGCTGAGTCCGTCTGCCCTGCTGAGGTGCTAGGAGGGGTGGGAAGCTGTGGGGTGTCGCGGTGTCGGTGCGGTCCTCCCGCCGTGCTCCCCTGACAGACTTCGGCTGCGCTGGTGGCTGGGGGGCAACAGGTCCGTGGCGGGAAGGTCGGTTGTAGCCACGTCCGTTGAGCAGACGAGATGAGGGCGCTTGAGGCGCTGCTGGCTGTAGGTATGGGGCGGCTGGAGCCCGCGGTTTGACCCGACAGCCTTCGGGCATCGTCTGAGGTGAGAGCTGAAGAACCTCATGGTACCTCAGCCCCTAGCCTGGGCTCGGGTATGTTTCACCCAGGCTTGGTGAAAACGCTGGAGCATCAGGCCACCGCCGGTGCCTTTCTAAGGAAACCCTAGCTGCCTCCGGTGTAAAGCATCAGTTTTACTTTAGGACTTGTATATGTCGAAGGGGCTAGAGATAACCAGAATCTGTCTCTCTGTCACAAATGCAAACTTGTGTCAAATCATATAGAAAGCTTGGCTCTTGGAAGCTGGTTCTGTTTGGTAATGAGATGGGGAATGTTCCTTTTTTACCCTCGGTAAGCCAGGTGCCATGAGCATTAAAATACCTTTGGTGTGCTTTGCTTCGTAGCATTTTGCTCAGCCTGTTTTACTTTCTTGTTCTTGTAGACTAAAACCAGTTTTCTGTTTGGCTCGGCACAAGTTAAGATAGGTATGACTCAAAACCTGCTTTCTTGACTTCTTTTTTGGCTATTTTTCTATTTAAATCTTAAAAGTTACCGTAGGTTTTTAAACTCCTGAGAAACAGCTGTGATGGTTTCAGTGGGGTGCTTTGAAGTAGAGTGTTTTAATAATTAAAACTGGTTTAAAAGATTTAATAATTATTTTTCAAGCCATGCATTAACCATGAATTCTTCCTGACACCCTGAAACCTTCCTGAAACACAGCCCTTTAGAGGTCCCATAGTTATCCGTTTCCTTTGTTTTTATCCTTTGTGCTTTGTCTTGTTTGTGTCTTAGTTTAGGACTGGACAGGTAGGTTCAAACAGCAATTTTAAATCATGGATTTTACCACTTCAAATACTTCATCACATGAAGTTCATTGCCAGTAACTTTCCTCTTAAATTCCACTGCCCTCTACTGGCAGGACCAGCAGGATCCACCTGCCCACTGCTCTTCCCTTTCCACTTGCTTTTAACTCCTTTTTTTGTTTGTTTATTCGGTTTCTTTTTTTTTAAGGTCGAAACCATTGAAAAGCATTCAGTTAAAATCTACTGAAACAGTCTCTGTACAAAGCAGAGAGGGTTGCTGACAGGATGATCTCCCTAAGGAGCCCTGAACTTCAGATTTCAATCTTCTCCTTGATCCAAAATAACCTCCTTGGGCTGATTTTGAAGTCGCACTGCAAAGCCTATTTTCCAAAGGCATAAAGGGAAACAAAAATATGTTGGATTTGGAGTCTGAGCACTAAGAGTTTACAAGTATAGCTGGAATATTGTTTTGACTTTCTTTTCTGTGTTCCTGGGATTTGGAGGCAATGCTGGGTTACTATTCGTTTGTAAAGATGATATAAAGAAATACCGTGTAGCTACAATTACATAAAATACTTATAAATATCCATATCTATAAATATATGTATATGTTATATTCCTCCCCTCATGTATTTTATCTCCTTATTTCTGCTGTTCTGTGTTCTACATATGAATAAATACATGTGCTTGAGTATTTGAATAACCTCGTCTATCCGAGCAGACTTTTCATGTGAGTGAAATCAGAGGATTAAGGCATGGAGAGAGGATCAGAGAGTTCAACACATCATTTGACAAATAAGTTATTCAGATGAAACTTTCAGCTGTTTCTTTACAAACCTGTGAACCTTCATTATTGCGCATGTGTGTAGCCAACGCATTTGATTCTCTTCCTTCACCAGGCTCCTGCTGTCTGAACTTTGTCCCTGAAATCCCACTTTGTTCTTGGAGCTGTTAAGTCCAGTGTAAGAGCTTTAGGTTATTTTTAACCTTCTTTAGTCCCAGATGAAACATTTTTGTTTCATCTGAGTGTGCCTCTTCCCTGTGTGATGACAGCATTAAGTGCACATAATGATGAGTTTTTCTTCTGCCTGCAATACACACTGTTCCAGTGCGCTCAGTGTCTGTTTCGGCAGAGGGCAGCACATGGGGATGTGAAATAATTGTGTCTCGCTTGAACTTTACAGTGACTCAGTCTTCCTCCCACACTTCAATATTCTGCAGACAGGATAAACCTTGGAAATAATGGGGGTTTTGTCTGAAATCCTGTTTTTGCATATGTCTTACTTGTAGAGTTCCCAGCATTTGCATAGGCTTTGGCTGTCACTTTATGGCATTGCTATTAAAAAGTTTTCATAGTCCTTAACTTTATTTTGTAGAACTGCCCGTTCCAGAGGCTCTTCTCAAGTGTGTGAAGGTAGAAGTCAACAGTAATTAGATTCAATCCATTTTTTTTTCATTTATGTCTACCTATCTGCACCTTTTCCCCCTTACCAGAACTATGATGATCTTGAGGAAGAGGGGATAAAGCAACAGGCATTTTAATGAACAAAGGGACAGCTTTCAGTTGTACCACAAGCAGAAGGAAGTCTGGCTGCTATGCAGTTGCCTTTCCTCTTGTGTAGGAAAGGAAGTGTGCTGGGGCCTGCTGGGCTCCAATTCTGGCAGCAGCACTTAGTATTTCCATTCTGTAGCCTTCTCATCTACATAATGTTTGATGCCTTCTGACTTCTCATCCAGATTGTGAATGTAATGTTAGTTTTGTTTGTTCTTACTTAAAATATTTTAGGTTTGAGAGGGCATTGGAGAAGTTCTTCATGAAATACATCTAAATTCAGTGAAGAAACCTTGCTTCTGTACTTCTCTTAGCTTATATGACTTTAACCAATATATGTCTGAGAATGCAGCTATGTTTTTGCTGAGGTTGTAAGGCTTTCCATTTTGGAGAATACTGGCACTATCATGGCAAAGAGCTAAAGTACTGAAAAAAGGTCAGATTATAGCTACCTGGCAGGTGTGTCGGAGTTAAAATTGAAAAGGCATCCTGACTTACCGTCAGGATGTTTTTTCTTTAGGTCAATATAAGGTAGACTGCAGAGAGACATTTCAATGAAGTCTCCTTTTAGGATCAGCAGACATATTCCTTGTGGCTCTGTTCTGTACCTCAGAAGGAGCAGGATGTGGGTTTTCAAGATGTGTTTGATCCTGTCTGCTGTCTTTAACCTCTGATATCTCGAAGTGTGATTCCGTTTTGAATGTAGGGTGGTTTCTTTGTACTTGTGCCACTTCAGCATGCTCCTTATGCTCTTCACAATTTCCTTAATATTACGCACACTTCTGTTTTCACCTGCGAAATTTGAAATGCACTTTTAAGTCATGGGCTAAAAACCCCACAAATCTGTAGAAGTGTTCAGACATCATCATCTCCCAGGGATTTTAGCTGTTGCTATAGAAGCCTAAATTCTCTTTTGGGAGACCTTTCCAATATAAAGAAGTTGATACTGGAGGAAAGTTGTCATGGAAATATGCAGCAAAAAGGGAAAGGAAATCTCAATGTGATGACTCTAACATAAGCTTAGCCAGCTTGGTGATGTAGCTTTTTATCTAAGGGCTCTAATTCTGCGGATTCTCTTAATTACATTCCAATGGGCTGGAATGCTACAGGCTAAAACCTAAAGAGATAAATTGTTTAACATTTACATAACCAAAGGTAGTTCTTCAACTCAGTGAGCATCATGTTTATTCAGATTCAGGTTTCCTCGCTTCATAATAACTTCTAAACAGTAGTATGACACTATTCTTTAGGCTACCCAGCCCTCCAGATGGGGAGGTAAAGTCCCTTTGGAGCTGAGTTTGAGTCCCGTTCCTGCAATGCAGCCACATCAGTTTCCTGGTGTCAGGCCATTGGGGTGGGTGCTGAGAGCAGTGCTCCCTACAGCCACCACCATGGTTTACCTGTTGGAAGGAACCCCTTCCAGGTGATGTCGGTAGGCTGGGGATTTTCCAGCAGCCTGCTTCTAGTGTGGGGTGAGCTGCAGAAATGGCAGCTCTAAAAGGATTTACAGACCTCCTGCTATTGAAATAAGGCTTCTGGAACTAATTTTAAAATGACTAAAAATAGTTTATTCTGCAGGCTTCAGTGCCATTCAGATTTGAACAGGAGTCCTTTGTGTCCGGCTAAATGGTTGTATAAGCAGATCCCTCTCCATGAATTTGTTGTCCATCACTAAGCCTGGTTGGTTCCCTAGTTTCAAGCTCTTTGTGTTTTTCTTACTAAAGCTTCCTGATACCTGATAGATGTGATTATGAGTGAGTTGTCTTTAAATATCTATTACCGGTGTCACCATGGTAACTGCTGTAAGAGTTTCCTGCTGGTAGAAGGTTTCCAGCTCCCTGAGATACAACAGGGCAAAATGCTTAAGCTGTTGTTCTCAATGAGATTCAATGAGGTTTGAATGAGATCACATGCAATCAAAGAGGAAAAAATAGCATATTTCTCATCTTTAATAACAATGAAAGGAGTATAGCTTGTTCTGGAGTCTGTCCTTGGATCAGAGGACAGGTACATGAGCAGGGACATGCCAAGCTTTCCCTGGAGATCATGCTTTC